TAATTGGAAAGAAATTTTCCAAGGTTATCTGTTTTCTAAGAAGCCCTGGTGGTGCAGTGGTTAAACGCTGGCTACTAACTTAGCGCCTGGAACCCACCCAGCGGCTCCGCGAGAGAAAGACCTGGCCACCTGCTTCCTTACGATTGTTGTTGTTAGGTGCCTTCGATACAGTTCTGACTCATAGTGACCCTGTGTACAGCAGAACCTGGTCCTGCACCATCCTCACAATTGTTGCTGTATTTGAGCCCCTCGTTGCATCCACTGAGTCAATCCATGTAGTTGAGGGTCTTCCTCTTTTATTTATTTATTTTTTTGCTGACCCTCCACCAAGCCTGATGTCCTTCCCCAGGGACTAGTCCCTCCTGACAACATGTCAAAGTATGTGAGACACAGTTTCACCATCCTCACTAAGGAGCATTCTGGCTGTACTTCCAAGACAGAAGTGTTTGTTTTCTGGCGGTCCATGGTATTTTCAGTATTCTTTGCCAGCACTATAATTCAATGAATTTTTCAGTTTTCTTTATTCATTGTCCGTTTTTCGTATGCCAGGGAGATGGTTGAAAATACCTCCGCTTGGGTCAGATTCACTTTAGTCTTCAAGGTGATGTCTTTGCTTTTTACACTTGTGAGAGGTGTTCAATGTAGTAGGTCATCTGATTTCTTGACTGCTGCTACCAGGGGCAGCAGTGCATCCTTAAGATTACAGCCAAGGAAATTTTATAGGATAGTTTTGCTGTCACATGGGCTTGCTCTGAGTTGGAGATTGACTCCACAGCACCTGATAACGTGTGTTGTCTCGGAGTTGTTCCTTCATCCAAACTTTTGATTTAAATGCTGGAAGTTTGGTGTTTTTTTTTGGTATCATACCCAAAGTAGCCCAGCTAGCTTCTGAACATTACTATTACCTTCTGGAATATATAACCATAGCTGGTTTTTTGTGTGTTTTTCAGTAAAGGAGTCTATAAGAGAAATTATAGAGACAGTATCATGAGGGGAAAATGATGTGGAAAGATAAAGACAGTGAAATAATGGAGAACCTGAGAAAAACTGCCCTGAGGGATTGAGAGGAAAGAAGAAATACCTGAGGGAAAGAGAATTGAAGAGAAAGCATGGGATAAGAGGCTGGAGTGAGATGGAAGGAAAATGGGAGATAAAATCAGAATTGAGAGCCCTCTTGAGTGTAGAGAAATAAAGAGATAAGAAGACATGGTGAAGTTGGAGAAATGGAAGAAAGCAAACCATATACCCAAAACCCATGGCCATTTAGTTGATTCCAACTCAGCAGCCCTATAGGACAGGGTAGAATTGTCCCATAGGGTTTCCAAGGTTATAAATCTTTATGGAAACAGACCACCTCATCTTACTCCCTATAGAATGCCTGGTGGGTTAGAACCTTCAACCTTTTGATTAGCAGCTGAATGATTTAACCACTGAGCCACCAGAGTTCTTAGAAGTGAATAACCAAAAAACACTGCCATCAAGTTGGTTCTGACTCATAGCAACCCCTGTCGGGTTTCCAAGGCTATACATCTTTATGGGAATAGATTGCCTCATCTTCTTGCAGAGCAGCTGGTGGATTTGAACTGCTGACCTCGTTAGCAGCCAATGCCTTACCCACCGTGCCACCAGAGCTCCTCTGAGAGCTGAATGGGCAGTGTCAAATTTTAAAATGCAGTGATAATGACAGACAGTGGAGATAATGCAGACAAACAGCTAAAGGGCGGTAAATTGAGTCTGAATCCCTAGATTTGAATTCTGCTACTTAAGGAGCCCTGGTGACGCAGTGGTGGAAGGACTCGCCTGCTAACCAACTGGTCAACAGTGGAAGTCCGCCAGCTGCTCCGTGGGAGAAGGATGTGGCAATTTGCTCCAGCAAAGTTTGCAGCCTTAGAAACCTGACAGGGCAGTCCTCCTCTGTCCTGCAGTGTTGCTATGAGTCAGAATTGCCCGGGCGGCAATAGGTTTTGGTTCTTGTTCTGGCACTTGCTACTTGTTCAACCTCTCTGTGGCTCAGTTTCCTCATCTGTAAAGTGAGTTGCTGTGGGGAGGGTGTACGCACATGTGTGTGTATGGTTTAGAATGTTGTTGTTGTTGTTATGTGCTGTCAAGTTGGACCCGACTCTTAGTGACCCCTCCTGGGGTTTCCGAGGCAGTATCACTATGGAAGTAGATTGCCCCATCTTCCTTCCGAGGAGTGGCTGGTGGATTTGAACCGCCAGCCTTCTGGTGAGCAGTCAAGTGCCTTAGCCACTACGCTACCAGAGCTCCCATGGTTTAGAATAGTGCCTGATATTTGAATAAGCAGTAAGTAAACATTAGCTATTATTAAACCCTCAGACAATTGGGGTACATTATTCGATATAGAAATGGAGGGAGATGAAGAGAGAATCACAAGGGGGAGAGAGAATGCCATGGAGAGTTAGAAGTGAAGTACTAATTTCAGACAAACTGATAGACTCAACATCCAAAAGGTAGTCCAGGACTCCTTAAGAGTCAGGGGGATGCTGTCAGTTGGGTCTACCATGAGTAGTCAGCTTGCAGAACTCCTTTTCGTTGGCCCTGTCTTTCTTTTCCTGAGGATCATCAGTAGCCCTTCAAGGCCTTCTCGTCTTCCCTCCTGGAACAGGAATCCCTCCTGAAGCAGCTCTGGCGTCACCCAGCCCAGCTGTGTCCCAGGCAGTAGTGCACAAACCTGACGGGCTGCCTGTGGGAAACAGCTCAGTGTTTCAGATGGCTGTTGTCCCCATTTTATAAGTGAAAAAATGACCTCAGAGCGGTTGATGGTCACACATCAGTAAATGATGAAGCTGAGATTCAAACAGATCGTACTAAGGAAGACTGAACGCTTTAAGGTCTCACCCCTTTAAGAATCTGACTGATGGACTTTCAGAAAATTGCACATATAAGGGGTGTGCTCCTCGTCAGTTTGGACTTTTCTCACTTGGGTCAGAAACCCAACTTTAAGTCAAAGACGTTTTTCTGAGCAGTGGAGGGTTGGAGGCAACCAAGCCTTAAGCACGCGGTGATAATGCTTTCCTCCCCACCGCCTCCGCTTCTCTCCTTCTCTCCCTTCAGTTGCGCAGGGACCGTCCTTGAACGCACCTCATCGTAACCATGTGAAGGTATTTCTCTAGGGTGGATCCCTCAATGAAGCTGTCGTGTTCAAGAGCCACTGCAAACCGCTCCCAGGTTGATCTCATCCTTGCCCAGCCACGAGCTGAACGTAGAGCTTTTCTCTCAGTATCCAAGTGTAAATCCCAGAGAGGGGCCCTGATTGGCCCTGCTCGGGTTGTATGTCTCCTCCTCAGACCAATCACTGGTTAAAAGGAGGAGAAGGGGCAGTGGTGGTTCAGGGGTAAAATTCTCGCCTTCCATGTAGACTTCCAGCCTAAGACAAACTAGGAAGAGAGGCCTGACATTCCTCTGAAAGTCGCCAGTGCAAACCCTGTGGAGCACAGTGGTCCCAGCCAGTCAGTGTGTAGTTCTGTTGTGATTGCCACAAGCTGGGGGGCAACTTGATAGCAGCTGACAACATGGGTACCGTGATGGAGTCTGTCAGTTGACTCACCAGTCGAGCTGCTCTGACGTCCGGGCCATCAGAACCATGTGGAATAGTGGAAGGGCTGTTTGCAAGAAAGTGAGTACTGTTACCAGAAGAAGGGAGGAGGGGTGTGCCAGGCTGGCAAAGCCGACAGAGGAATAACAGCACTTGCCAAATTTTGCATCTCACGTCAAAGTCCCTAAGTGTCCTGAAGGTCAGTGTGCAGCCTTGGGATCCTTGCCTTGCTCTTTTTTCCCAAACTTTTTATTGTGATTTGGGTGGATGTTTACAGAGAAAATTGGTTTTCCCTTCAACGATTTATACCCATGTTGACTGTAACATAGCACCTGTTTTCCCACTTCCTCCCTCAAGTTACTTAACATTTCCCTTCATCATGCTGCCCTTTGATCTCATACTCTTCCTCCCTGGTGGGACTGTTCACCTTACAGGCCTACCTATTGTCTGGCAGAAAGTTGAGCCACGGGAGTGGCTTAAAGGGTTAAAGGATGTCCAAGCACCAGAGTCTCTCGAGTTCCACCAGTCTCTTCCCAGGAAGCCTGGTTGTTATTTTATTTTATGATTTTGAGTTTTGTTCCACATTTTTCTCCCACTCTGTCCAGGACCTCCTCTTGTGGTCCCTTTTGAGCAGTTGGCAGTGGTAGCTGGGCACCATCTAGTTATGGTCTCAGGGTCAGTGGAGGATGGAGTGTGTGTGGTCCATCGTCTTTTGGACTAGTTTCCACGCACCTTTGATTTTCTTCTTGTTTTTTCTGAACAGGGAGAGACCAATAGTAGTATCTCAGTCCCCGTCTCTTAATTATGCCACATCCCCATTATGTTGTTGGAACAGCGTTGTGTTGGTTGACCACATGGTGGCCTCTGTTCTTTTAGGACATAGATGCACCCTTGCTCTGGGGCTCCTTGCCTGACTCCTGAACACGGTCAGGTCAGGTTTTCCTTTGGGCTCCCACGGCTTCCCAGGCTTCCTTCTCAGCCTAGTCAGTCTGATTGTCACAGTCTGATGACGTTGTCCGCCCCCTCTCATTTGACCGTGAGCTCTGAGAGAGTCCAGGCTGGTCTGGCTGATTCACTGCCATACCCCCTTCTCCAGCCCAGTGCTTGAGAGTAGTAGGCCTTGAGTAAACACTGAAAAATGAGTGGATTCATGAACATCTTCTGTCCCCCTCCCCAGGCATCCGGGGAGCTTGTGCCCACCCCTGGGATCACTCCAGAAGCCCTGAGGTACCCTGTGTGCTGCTAGCTTGACCCGGGCTCCTGGCCACTTTGTCACCTGAGGCGATCCTGTTCCATCAATGAGGAGGAGAATCCGTTCTTTGAAGAGAGAAGTGATTCCACGTTTGCTGACACTGGCTTCTCACTGCTGGTGGAGAACGGATGAGAACCTTGGGCCTGATGATCAGAACTGAGGTCAGATTAGTGGCCACGTTGTGTTAGCAAGATGCCTCCTCCCAGAACCAGGGAGGGCAGGGGTCACCGAGAGCACCCCCGGGCCCCCTGTGAGGAGGCCCCAGAGAGATGGGACTGGAATCACCCGGACACACGTCGCCTCATGGAGGATGCCTTCTTCCGTGATGAGGATTATATTCGCCAGGGGTCCGAGGAGTGCCAGAAATTCTGGGCCTTCTTTGAGCGCTTGCAGAGATTCCAGAGTCTCAAGACAGCCCGGAAGGAGGAGGAGAAAGACCCTGAGCCTTGCAAGCATAGCATCCCAGCCCTGGCTGACCTGCCGCGCACTTACGACCCACGTTACCGCATCAACCTCTCCATCCTTGGCCCTGACCCTTGGGGCTCTCGGGAGCTGGGCAGACGCCTACCCCCAGAGAGAGTGTCCGAGTTCCGTAGAGCCCTGTTGCACTACCTGGACTTTGGCCAGAAGCAGGCCTTCGGGCGCCTGGCCAAGCTGCAGCGGGAGCGGGTGGCGCTGCCCATCGCACAGTACAGGAAGCGCATCCTGCGGACGCTGAGGGAGCACCAGGTGGTGGTGGTGGCGGGTGACACGGGCTGCGGCAAGTCCACTCAGGTGCCCCAGTACGTGCTGGCTGCCGGCTTCAGTCACGTGGCGTGCACCCAGCCCCGGCGAATCGCCTGCATCTCCTTGGCCAAGCGTGTCGGCTTTGAGAGCCTCAGTCAGTACGGCTCACAGGTGAGTGGGCTGTGCAGGGCTCCTTTCCCAGTTACTGTTTGGGATGGAATTGACCCCCTCCCTTAATATGTGTTGCGAATCCTAACTGCAAATCAACCCCATTTGGGCATCGGGAGTACAGGGTGTGTTGAAGCCAATCTCTTCGGAGACGTGAAAAGAACAGATCGAGCAAGCAACCAAAGAGAGAGGAACAGCACTCAGGAACAGAAACTCAGGAGAGACAAGGACCTTCCTCCAGAGCCCACACAGAGAGAAAGCCTGTGCCCAGAGCCAGCGCCCTGAACTCGGTCTTCCAGCCTCCAATAAATGTCTGTCTGTTGAAGCCACCCCCATGTGGTATCGCTGTTATAATGGCACCAGAGAACTGAGACCGTTAACAAGCGCACCATAACAAAAATAGCACACGGGGGTGCCTTTAACGAACAGAAATTTACTCTCTCACAGTTCTGGAGGCTGAAAGGCCAAGGCTAAAAGTCTTGGCCGTGTCAACTCCTCCTGTCTCCTGGTTTCTGGTATTTGCCAGCGATCCTGCGCATTCTTTTGCTTGTAGATGGTCCTCACGTGTTTCCTGACTGCCCCTCGTGTGTCTGTGGGTCTGTTCTGGTCTTTATGTAACTCAGAGGTGATCAGTTTTAGGACCCTCAAACCTTCCTCTGGTGTGATCTCAGTTATCAGATACTGCGATAGAAATACCACAAGGGGGTGGCTTTAACAGACACATCTATTCTCGCAGAGTTTACCAAAAAGCAAACCAAACTCACTGCCATAGAATCAATTCCAACTCATAGTGACCCCATTTGGGTTTCCGAGGCAGTAAATCTTTATGGAAGTGGATTGCCCCATCTTCCTTCCAAGAAGCAACTGGTGGGTTTGAACCACCAACCTTCTGGGTAGCAGTCAGTCAAATGCCTTAGGCACCATGCTACCAGAGCTCCTTCTCTCACAGTTTGGGAGACTAGGAGTCTGAATTCAGGGTGCATCCCTGGGGAGAGCTTGCTCTCTCTGTGTCTCCTGGTCCTAGGAAGATCCCAGCACAGGGTCCCCAGGTCCATAGGACACACTCTGCTCCCCACTATTCTTTCTTGGTGCAAGTAGGTCCCCTTCTCTCTGCTCACTTCTCTCTCCTTTTATCTCTTGTAAGATCAAAGATGTTGTAGGCCACCTGTCTCCTGCAGAGCCACTGGTGGGTTTGAACTTACAACCTCTGGGTTGGCAGCTGAGCACTTAGCCACTGTGCAACCAGAGCTCCTTATTTACAGGTACAGGGTCAGGATTTCAGCACGTATTTTTGGGAGACAGTCTGTGACAGCTGGGGAGTAAGTTGCTCGCCCACACGGCATTGTCAGTAAAAGTGACAAAAGCACTTACCCGTTAACTCGGCACAGATTCTTCTAGAACTGTATATACTGGTTGGCTCGTATATGATCTGGATGACAAAGGTGCTATGTCACCCGGCATTGGCACTTTCATGCCAAAAAATTAGAAGTGTCATAAACGGTGTTTAGTCTCTTTCAAGCAACCACAAGAAAAGAATGAGGACACTTCCTGAGAAATTATTTCTGGAGTTGTAATCCTGGCACAGTGGTTAAAGTGTTTGGCTGCTAACCAGGAGGTCAGTGGTTCAAATCCACTAGCAGCTCCACGGGAGAAAGATACAGCAGTCTGCTTCTATCATCGGGGCGCTGTGAGTCAGAACAACTGGACATCAGTGGGTTTGGTTTGGGCCTTGCATCCATAAAGATTACAACCTCGGGAGTCCCATGGGGCAGTTCCAGTCTCCTGCAGGAGCACCGTGAGTCAGAATTGACTCGACAGCAGCAGGGAGATGACTAAGGCGCCCGCCTTGCTTTCGCCGCAGGTTGGCTACCAGATCCGCTTTGAGAGCACGCGTTCGGCGGCCACCAAGATCGTGTTCCTGACAGTGGGGCTGCTCCTGAGGCAGATCCAGCGGGAGCCCAGCCTGCCCCAGTACCAGGTCCTGATCGTGGACGAGGTCCACGAACGGCATCTGCACAATGACTTCCTCCTGGGCGTGCTCCAGCGTCTGCTGCCCCGGCGGCCAGACCTCAAGGTCATCCTCATGTCGGCCACCATCAACATCACACTCTTCTCCAGCTACTTCGGTGGCGCCCCTGTGGTACAGGTGCCCGGGAGACTCTTCCCCATCACGGTCAGTGCTTCTCTCTTTTTTTTTCAATAGTATTTTATTTTTGGTGAAAGTTCCAACAGCAGTTTAGGTTCCCATTCAACAATTTCTACCCAAGTTGTTCATTGACACTGTTTACATTCTTCACAATGAGTGAGTGTGCTCACGGTTTCCATTCTGGTAGTTCTGTTTCCGTTCATCTAGTCTCCCTCCTCCCTTACGTTCTCATCTTTGTTTCAAAGTAAACCTGAACTGTTTTGTCTTACATAGGTGATTTTTTTTTTTTCAATATTTTTCCTATATTCTTATTGTGGTTTGGGTGAAAGTTTACAGTTTACAGAGCAAATTCACTTTTCATATAGCAGTTCATACACATTTTGTCTCATGATGTTAATTGCAATTTCCCACATTGTAACAGCTCCCATCCTACTTCCCCCACATAGCTACCTCTTCCCTATGTCCTTCCCTTCCATGCACTCCTGCCCCCCCACCCGAGCTGTCTCCCTTTGCTTACACAGCCCTTCTATTCTCCCATGGTTCCACCAGGCTCTATTAGACCAGCAAACCTCGTCCCTTTATATTTTTTTAAAATGATTGTGAGTTTTTTCCACATTGTTCTCCCTCTCTATCCAGGATCTCCTACATAGATACCCCTTTGAGTGGTTGACAGTGGTAGCCAGGCACCATCTAGTTCTTCTGGTCTCATAGTCATATAGGCTGAGGACTGAATGGTGTACCAGTCACTTGGACTCATTGTTTCAATGCATCTTTGGTTTTTTTCATTCTTCTTTGCTCTGGACGAGGAGAGACCCATGATTGTATCTAGATGGCTGCTTGCAAGCTTCAAAAAAATATTTTATTGTGTCTTAGGTGAAAGTTTACACAGCAAATTAAGTTCCCGTTTAACAATTTTTGTGCCACTTGTTCCGTGCCATGGGTTACGGCTTTGACAGTGTGTCTGCATTCTCATTGTTTCCATTCTGCTTGTTCTGTGTCCATTGATCTAGCTTCCCTGCCCCTCTGCCTTCTCGTCTGTGCCCTTGGGTAAATGCTGACCATTTGATCTCACGTAGGTGCTGTTTTAAAGGAGCACAGTGCTGACGGGTGATGTGCGTTATTCTGTGAGCCAGTTAGTTAGCTAGAAGGTGACCTCAGGGCTTAGTTTTGGTTCAAGGTTTGAGGAGTCTCTCAGGGTAATAGTCTCAGGGACCCTCTGTTTCAACCAGCCCAGCAGGTCAGTTTTTTTCCCATCTTTTTTTAAAAAAGCTTTCATTTTCTGAGCATTTACAACGTGTGAGGTAGAACGTTAAGTGCTTGCTAGAGTACAAACTAAGCTGCTGTAACAAAACCAAAAAATACCCAAACCCGTGACTGTTGAGTCAGTTCCAGCTCACAGTGACCCCTTCCGTGTCTGTCAGGATAAAACTGTTCACTGGGTTTGCAGTACAGTGACTTTTCAGAGCAGATTGCCAGGCCTTTCTTCCAGGGCACCTCTGAGTGGACTGGAGCCTCCAGTCTCCTGGTCAGCAGCCGAACGCGTCACGCATTTGCACCACCCAGGTGCCATCCCAAAGAGACCCTAAATGTAAAGGTTCAAACAAGACAAAAGTTTATTTCTCCTTTGTGACAGTCTGGCTGGTCTGGGCTGGTGGACAGCTCTGCTCCACGTGGCCATTCAGGGACCCAGGAGCCGCCTCGCTCATTGTTCTGCTCTCTCATTGGGCAGACCTTCTCAAGCTCAGCACGACTGCCACTTGGGGCCAGATCGTTCTTAGTGTGTGTATGGGGGGCTGTCCTGTGCACTGTAGGCTATTTACCAGCGCCCCTGATCTCTGCCCAGTAGGTACTAGTAGCACCCTCTTCTGCCCGATTCTGATAGCTGAAAACACCTCCAGAGGTTGGCACATGTACTCTGGGTTCCAAAACCGCCCCTTATTGGGAACCACGAGGGGGCCGAGATGGCACTCTCCACGCGGCTCTGTCTGGCATGGGTTTTTTGTTAACTACTTCCTCCTCCTGGGCCTCTGAGCCCAGAAGTGGTGACAGCTCTGGCGTTTGAGCACCAGAGAACCACTCCATCCCTTGTGGTTTCTTATCTGAAATGCCCAGCAGTTGTTCTAAGCAGCCAGGCCTGCGCAGGTAAACCCCACATGCAGTTCTCTGAAACACACAATGTCGCCACGAGTCCTAGTCCACTCAATGGCAGTGGATTTGGTGCTTTTTTTGAGTCCTGACTTCACCACTTAAAAATGTGTTGGTTTTGAAGTGTTCATATTCTAAACATAGTTGTCAGTTGTTGGGTGCTATTGACTTGGTTCTGAGTCATAGGGACCCAGCGTACAGCAGAATGAACCACTGCCCGGCCCGGCACCACCCTCACAGTCCTTGCTGTTCTTGAGCCCGTTGTTGTAGCCACTGTGTCTGTCCGTCTCATCAGGGGTCTTCCTCTTTCTCACTGACCCTCTTCCAAACATGATCTCCTTCTCCAGGGACTAGTCCTTCCTGATTTTTTGGGGACATGCTTCTCGTACTTTGGGGACCAAAGTATGAGAGATGAGGTCTTGCCATCCTCGCTTCTAAGGAGCATTCTGCCTGTACTTCTCCCAGGAAGATCTGTCCATTCCCCTGGCAGTCTGTGGTATGTTCAGTATTCTTCGCCAGCACCATACTTCAAAGGCATTAATTCTTCAGTCTTCCTTATTCATTGTCCAGCTTTTGCATGCTTATGAGGCGATTGACTATACCATGGGATGGTCAGGCATACCTTAGTCCTCAAGGTGACATCTTTGCTTTTTGACACTTTCAAACACTGATTAGCTGATAGACTTGGCTTTGAGTCCATCACCATCAGTTCTTGGCAGTTCCAAACACAGGGAGGCACACGTACCATAAATGTAGAGCTCAGTGACTTTTCACAAATTAAATACACGTAGCCAGCACCTTGACAGTGTTTCATTCCTAACAACAGCCCCCAGCCCCCAAGGAGCCCTGGTGGCACAACAGCTAAGTGCTCAGCTGCTAACCAAAAAGTTGATGACTTCAGCCCCCCCGGGGGCTCTGTGGGAGAAAGACCTGGCAACCTGCACCCATAGGGACTGCAGCCTAGGAAACCCAGGGAGGCCACCCCATGAGTTCAGATTGACCTGATGGCATCTGACAATAACAGCCAACAGCCGGATGGAAAAAAAAATCGCACATCACCAGACAGGCAACACTTACTTTAAAACAAAGATGAGAATGTCGGGGAGGGAGACTAGATGAATGGAAATGGAACAACCAAAACAGAAATCATGCCAAGGATGGAAGCAATGTCACTGAACAATCTGTGTAGAAATTGTTGAGTGGGAACCTAGACTTATGTAAACCTTCACCAGAAACACAATAAAATATTATTTAAAAAAATCAAACGTTACCAGCACCCCAGAAGCCCCCTTGTGCCCCCACGCAGTTACTTTTATACACTTAGTTCTGTGGTGCTGCTATAAAAGATACACCACAAGGGAGTGGCTTTAACAAACAGAAATTTATTTTCTCACAGTTTAGGAGGCTGGAAGTCTGAGTTCAGGATGCTGGCTCTAGGCGAAGGCTTTATCTCTCTGTTGCCTCTGGGGAAAGGTCATTGTTTCTTTATCTTCTGTTTCCTGGTTCTTTGGAGAGGTCCTTGTGGCTTGGCATCTCTCTTCCCCCATCTTTGCTTGCTTCATCTCCTTTTATATCTTGTAAGAGATTGACTTAAGGCACACCCCACACAGTCCTGCCCCATTCACATAACAGGACAACGCATTCCCAGATGGGATTGTCACCACAGGTTAGGATTTACAGCATGTATTTTTTGGGGACATGCTTCAATCAGTCACACTGTCCTCTGGTCCTTCCTGCTCTAAGGAGCTAATTTGAATGTTCCATGCATTTCCTGAAAGATCTGTGTCTTCCCTTTCAGCCTGCCATCTTCCCCTATAGGACCTTTAACTCTGAGCACCCCAGTGCACTGAGCCAGAGGTGACGGGGTGTGCCCCCGCTGGTGGTGGGGGGCTGTCTCATCACAGGTTGTGTACCAGCCGCTGGAGGCGGAGCCAACCACAGCCAGGCCAGAGAAGCTGGACCCGCAGCCGTTCCTGAGGGTGCTGGAGGCCATTGACAAGAAGTACCCACCCGAGGAGCGGGGCGACCTCCTCGTCTTCCTCAGTGGTGTGGCAGAGATCAGCGCTGTGCTGGAGGCCGCCCAGACCTACGCCAGCCACACGCAGCGCTGGGTGGTCCTGCCACTGCACAGCACCCTCGCTGTGGCTGACCAGGACAAGGTACCCCATGAGGCCACGCAGAGCGTGGCAGGCAGGTGTCTCACTGTGTAGGCCAGAGAAGGGGAAGGGGGCAGGGTGTCTACGTGCAGGACTGACACGACTTCACAAGGTAGGACAGTGGGCCTGCAGAGATGGGTCCTCTCACCTCGTTGGGGTGGGAGCCTGTACAGGGAGAACCTCCTGGTGAGCTAGAAGCACTGGAGCTGGGCTGTAAGGGCAAAGAGCATTTAGATGAGGGGATGAGGGAGGAAGGCATTCCAGGTGAGTGTGTCAGGGGTGGGCATCCTGAGCATAACCATTGTTGTTGGGTGCTTTTAAATAGATTCCGACTCATGACAACCCCATGTGACAGGGAAGAACTGCTCCATAGGGTTTTCTGGGCAGGAGCTCTGGTGGTGCAGTGCCTAAGGCACTTGACTGCTAACCAGAAGGCTGGCGGTTCAAACCCACCAGCCACTCCTCGGAAGGAAGGTTGGGCAATGTACTTCCAAAGTGATATGGCCTCAGAAACCCAAGGAGGGGTCGCTATGAGTAGGGTCCCACTCGACAGCACATGACAACAATAACAATCTTCGTGGGAGATCACCGGGTCTTTCTCCTTTGGAGCTCCCGGGTGGATTTGAATCACCAACCTTTCAGTTAGCACCCGAGGGCCTCCTGAGTGAGGGTGTGGGTCCAGGAGTATGTGCGTTGAGTGTGGGGGCTATTGAAAGACCTCCCTGGCTGGAACTGAAGGCTGGGAAAGATATAAGGAGAAAGGCCTTTGAGCCACTGTATTAGTTATTTATTGCTGTGTGACAAGTTACCCCAAGACTTTGCAGCTTGGAACAACAGTAAACTTTTATTCTCTTACATAGTTACTGTGGATTGGGGATCTGGGAACAGCTTAGCTGTGTGGTTCTGGCTCAGAGTCTCTCGTGGGGTTGCAGTCAGATGTCAGCTGGGGCTGTGCTTGTCTGAAGGCTGGACTGGGGCTGGAGGGTCCTCTTCTGCGATGGCTGGTGGACGACGCTGGCTGTTGGCTGAGGCCTCAGTGAGTCTCTTTGGGCTGCTTGAGTGTCCTCATAACATGGTGGCTGGTTCTCCCCAAGAGACCGGGAGATCTTCATGATCTGGCCTTTATGATCCAGTCCTCCTCTCATTTTTGCAGTCTCTCACTAGTCATCAGTCTGCCTGGATGTCAATTCCAGGAGGCAGGAATCACTGGGGAGCACTTGGAGGCTGACTCCCATCGTCACCTTGGGTAGAATCCCTTCAGGTCCCACCCACTGGTTTACTGATGGAAGAAACACCTCTGAGCGCCTCTTTACTACCTCCCCTGGAGCCGGGGGCACTGGGACTCAGTGGGGGCAAGACACAGTCTCTGCTTTCCATTGCTGCTGGCCTGTTGGTGTAGACGAACAAGAATAAACAGTTTTACAAACTGTTGGGGAAGGCACCCAGAGTCTTGGTGGATTCAGGGAAGGCTTCCTGGAGGAGGAGATTTTCAGAGCTGAGATCTGCGAAAGCCAGAGCCTACGAAGGAGGCAAGAGAAGAGTGTTCCAGAGTACATGTACCGAGCACGTCCAGTGTGCTGGCCAGGGCTCTGCCCTGTGCATACGTCTCGGTTTAATCCTCACACGTTCCTTGTCTGGGAGGGCTTGCTGTTATCCCATTTGGCAGGTGGGGAAATGAGGCTTAGGCTAATACTGGCACTTGTGCGAACTCACCCAGCTACGTAGTGGCAGAGCTGGGCTTTGAACCTGCTCTCTGAGTTCAGGTAGTTTGGCACCAGAGCCCATGCTCTGAGCCAGAGATGGGCAGACTTTTTATAAAGGGCCAGGGTGAATATTTTCGACCTTGCAGACCACAGGGCCTCTCTGTTAAGGAGCCCTAGTTACACAGTGGTTAAGCACTTGGCTGCTAGTTGGAAGGTTGGTGGTTTGAACCTGCCAGCTGCTTCATAGGGGAAAGATGAGGCAGTCTGCTTCCATAAAGATTACAGACTTGGAAACCCTGTGGGGTAGTCCTACTCTCACATGGGATTACTGTGGGTTGGGATGGACTCAGTGGCACACAACAGTAACAGCATCTCAGTTGTAACTGTTCAGTTCTGCTCTTACAGCACAGGAGCAGGCATTGGCTGCAGATGAGCATGACTGTGTTCTAATAAAACTTTATTTACAAACAGCAGGATTGGCCCCCAGAGGCCTTAGTTTGCCAACATGTGCTCTTAACCACCATGCTTGAGTATCTTTAGGGCTCAGGGAGGGATTTGTGCAAAGGGCCTGGGGTGAGAAGATGATGGGTAACTGGGAAACTACAGGCAGTGTGGCTGGGTTCAGATTTTCCCAGAAGGGGTTGCCTGGAGAGAAGGACTGGGAGGTGGGCTGGGCTGGACCACAGAGGGCCTAGAGGACCAGTGAAGATCAGGGCTTTGTCCCCATGGGCACTGGGGGGCCACGGGAGGGGTGTTGAGCAGTGGAGGGGCAGTGTCAGGTTTGTGCTGAAGGGTGGAGGGGTGAGACTGGAGACCAGAGACCTGGGAGGAGGCTGGGGCAGGACCCTCCAAGGCAGCGGCCCGGACCAGGGTGGGGCCGTGGGAACAGGGAGGAGGGGACGAGTTCATGAGATGGCCACGATGTTCCAGTGTGGCTGTGGGGTGAGTGGAGGGAGGGCCCAGGACAGCCCAGGTCGCTGGCCCAGGTGGTGGTGGGTGGGTGGTGGCCACCCCTGAGATGGGGAGGAATGGGTTCAGGGGACAAAAACGAGGCTGTTGTACACACATGGATGTGAGGTGCCCAAGCGACATCTAGGACGCCACCAGGAGGCCCACACACACAGATCAGTGAAGTCTCTGATGCCACCCCTCACTGTCCTGCAGGTATTTGACGTGGCGCCCCCTGGAGTCCGAAAGTGCATCCTCTCCACCAACATTGCAGAGACCTCAGTCACCATCGATGGCATCCGCTTTGTAGTGGATTCTGGTAAGGGCTCCCCTGGCTCCCAGCCCATGGGCCAGAAAGGAGTGCAGGGGCTGAAAATGTTCCAGACCGAAGCAGGAAGTAGGTGGCTCTGGGGCTGTGGACCAGTGGTGCCGTTTCATCTTTCTCAAACATTCCAAGCTCACACCTGCCCTAGGGCCTCGGTCCTTACCTGTCTTTCTGCCGAGCAGGAGCTGTCTCTCTGTGGACACCCCCAAGCTTGCACCATCCCCTTTGGGCACCTGCTTCAGGGTCTCCCTGCCGAGGTGCCCCCCTCTCTGCTCTCGGTGTCGGTCCCCCTTCTCCGGCCACTCTCCTCCCCGGGATGCTTTCTGTCTCCCCGACCAGAATGCAAGTCTGCGTGGCATCCTGGTTGGGAGACTCTGGTACCAGCCTGGCTGGGTGCATTGCTAGGTGTAGACGGGGTCATGGTGCTGACACTCTCTGTGCCTCGGTTTGCTCATCTGCGAAGCGGGGATGACAGCAGTGCTGCCCTGGGGCTGTAAGGGCTACATGGAGAGCACACTGGGGTGCAGAGCCAGCACTCAGTAAATGTGAAAACCAGCTGCCATCGCATCTCTGACTCCTGGTGGCCCTGTGGGTGTCAGGGTAGAACTGTGTTCTGGGGTCTTCAGGGGCTGAGTTTTGGGACGTAGATGGCCAGGCCTTTCTCCCATGACTGCTCTGGGTGCACTGAACCAGCAGACATGGGTTAGCACCAAGCGCATTAACTGT